AATGCCTCAAAAAATAAACTTTGTACAAAAAATGTCTTTGCCATTTTAGATTTTGCAGAGGAGGTAACACAAAAGCAGGGTCAAATAAAATATCAACAGCAAAGACAACAAATATTCTTATATGTAGTAAGAAAGCAGACAACTTACACTAATTTATCCATTACATACTCAAGTCGAATTAATCTTAAAACAAAAGTTAAGATAGACAACAGCATCAGGGCACCTTATGATGGATAGTAAATGATTGAGGATTCACAGTAATTAATGACAGAATGGTGAGTGGTCAAACTCTAAATCTACATGGGATAAAATAACATGTATTATATGCACTATTAACTAGGAAATGACTTAGAAATGATCCAAAAGGAAGCCTCTGACAGTGGGCCAAGCACTAAGTTCCCATCTCATCCCCAGCATTCAATGTTCTGAGGCTTAGCCTGTGGATATGAGTCAGATCATCTTTAAGGACCCCTCAGGGTTAAAATCTGAGTTTAGGATCTTTTCCTGTCAGTTAAAAAAAAAAAAGGAAGAGGAAGAAAAAAACTAAAATATACAAACAGAAATGTTATTTGATTTTAAATAAAGCTCAAAACCAAAAAATAGGTTTACTAGTCAAAAAAAAAATTTGGATTCCAGGATTCAACAAAAAAATTCTTCAGATTTATTAAGTGCATATGATTCTTGTTATGTTTATTTGTTCAAAAGAAAAAGCAGAGCAGCACACATGTGTAATCCCAGCAGCTTTGGAGGTGGAGGCAGGAGGATCACCAGTTCAGAACCAGCCTCAGCAACTCAGCAAGACCCTGTCTCTTAAATAAAATATAAAAGAAATGGGGATGTGGCTCAGTGAATAAATACCCCTGGTTCAACCCCTGGTACCAAAAGAAAAAACAAAGAAAGAAAGAAAGAAAAAGTAATTTGTTGTTTGCATGATGGGAAAATAATAATTTGTAGAAAATTATTCTTAATAAAATATTCTTAATAAAATCTCAAGTGAGACATAAATGAAGTGGAACAAATATAAAATATCCTAAAGATAAGTACTACTGTATTTGAAATGGCAGTAATTATCTAATTATAAGAATATTTCCATGTAGTCTTTTAACATTAGATGGGAACAATGGAAAGAAAGCAGTCTGTTCACATGAATGAATGAATGAGAGAGTAAGAGAACTTTGAGAACTGATAATCTGTTTAACTTTTCTCAAGGATTGAGATATGTATAAGCCCAAATGACAAGTGACTAACCTAAAAATCTCATATTAATTATAAAAAATGACATACTGCCATTTTTGAAAATTAAGTCAAAATAACTTGTAGAGAAATAGAGATACAGCATTTAGAAGGCAATTTCAACAAGAAAATAAGCATTTCTACTTACAATGTAAAAATTATTTGTTAAATATTTCCAAATATTCTATTTTTCTGGGAACCATACATACTAGCTAAGCCTTAAAATGACCACATAGGGATTTTAATAATTTCTACAGATTATAATCTCAGAGGTAAAGGACCTAGAAGATTCCTATTTACCAACAGAGATAAGTGTGGCAGCCATATAGCAAAATGATTCTTGTGCTTTACCCACTTATTAGATGGGTGACTCCCAGGAAGTTACTTCTCCAAATTTCAGTTTGCTCATTAGGATAATAAAATATCTAACCCCTTAAATAAGACAATGTATATAAAAGAACACTCATTTTTTTAAAAACTGTTAACTAAAACACAAGAGAAATGTAAGTATTTTAAATAATCAGGTATTTTAAGCAATTGTAATCCAAACCATTGAGCAAAGAAAGGAAAATATGTTCATCTAAATTCCTACTATGAAGTTAACAAATGCTATTCAGGAAATGGATTATTAAAGATAATTTGTTTTATGCCATTTTAATTAGTTAAACATAATGGTAATACTTTTGATGTTCACATAATATGGGTTTTTTTAAGCAATGATATATTGGTTTGGCTCTACCACAATCTTTATTTCAATTCTCTTTGGCTTACAGGCTACAGAATTACAGTATGCCTAGAATAGAACAGCACACCAAGGCCAAAGGACAAAGCAAACTGACACATACTACAGATTATACATAGGTATTACTAGCTTTATTTAGGGTGCTTTGCTTAAAATAGCACATATCTCTTTTATTATGATATGTATATTAAATTCTAAAACTTCAAAAATAGGTTTAGTCAGGATTTTAAAGAAGCTCATTTTACTTTTATTTGGTAATTTCACCAAAGAAGATGTGTCAAACTCAGTAGGGCTGTAACCAGAAAACAGATAACTCATATAAAGAGAGAAAGCAACCTTCAAGTATTCAAAAGTATCATGTTAACAAATAATTCCATGAATTCCAAGGAGGCAGATTTTAATGTAACATAAAAAAGAAATTATCCAGAACTGAAATGGGTTTATAACCTTTCTGGAAAATACTTTTCCAAATTCTAAAAATTCCTGCATCTTCTGATCACAAACTTTAGAAACTTATACCAAGTAAATGATTGAGATGATACATAAAAGAATAATAGCACAGTTAATAAAAGCAGAAAAGACTGAAGACAACCTAGATGTGATGTAGCAATGAATAATTTTCAATAATTAAGAGAATGAGAAAATGTTTAGGGTAAAATAGAAAATAGAAAAAAAAAGTACTGAAAATGATATAATGAATAATGTTAACTTTGTTCTCCCAAATATTTATTTGTATATGTAAAAATAACTGGAAAAGCAATTATGAAGTACATGGAAGAAAGTACAACATAATTTCCAGCTGATTATGTCTGTATGTATTGGTACAGCGGTGGTTGTATGCTGAATTTTAATCCAGAACATATCTATCATGATTTTTATGAAAGACCAGACACCCAAGTTCTAGTCTAATTCAAAGATTCTGCAACTCTAAGAAAACTTCTTACAACTAATTTAAAAATCAATAAGTCTATGCCAATACCAGAAAATCTAAAGTTGAAATTTCAAAGTAAGACAGCCAAGAATGGCATTAATTACAGAAACAACATCAATATCCTCTGGCTAGTAGCTCTTTTCTTGGATAGAAAAATGGGCAGAGGACCTAAATGAGCTGTGTCAAACAAAGAAACAAGAATGAATCTCCAACTGCCAAAAAAGAGGAGGCAGCATAAGAAGAAAAAGGAGAAAATGAACAAAAATTTTTCATTTATTATTACTGAAAGGGCCACTGCCTAGATGGATGGTAAATCTGTGAGTGATTAGTGACAACAAATAAGAAAACTACTAACATTTTTATATCTGGTAGAACTACAGTTTACAGAACAGGGGACATTCAGAAACTCATTATTAAAAATTGAATTATATTCATTTGATTAGTACCAGAATTTAGAGACCTGTGTGGGAGTTAAACTATTATATCAATTTTCACCTAAGATATTAAGCCATGAAAAAACAAAACTAATTATAAACCACTAGTCCAGATTCTCAAAAATGTTAACTACTATCACCATGTATTTTATATATTTACCTATTATAAGTGAAATAAGACAAGTTTCACAAATTATATCATAAGTAAAATTCCATAATTCAAAATCAAGAAAAACATATTTCCCTTGTAATGAGTGAAGACAGCCATTTGTTACAAAAGGAAGAAACCACTGAATGCCATGTATTTTTTTTACTAGAGATAGGTAATAATGCCTAATACAAAATACCTTGTAAGGATATCATAAGTAATGTTTAGATAAGAACACAATTCTATAACTGCAAAACAAAATAATTAAAATTTAAAGGTGTTAAGTTACTCAAAATATTCTGAGAAACAGGTAAGACATTTTAATTTCACAGGTCATTTATTTGCATATATATATGCACACACACACACATACATTCACATACATATATACATACTATACCATCTTTCTAGCTAGTTACATTACACACCAGGGAGTTAAAGACAGTTAAAATGAAATACTATGATAGTTTCTCTATAATTAGAATACCATATGACTTACAAAAAAATATTGGGTTGTACTGAAAGATTAAAGAAGGATGACTCGTATAGAACCTGGCCAAAACATACAGCTTTTATTTTTTCTTTTCTTTTTAATCAAAGTACTATAAACAAAAAGAAAAAACATAAAAATCCTCAAGACCATGTTTTTCCCATCAGGTACTATAAATAAGGATGTACCTGTTTTCCCAAGATATAATTGAAACACATTTATTTTTTAAAATAATAGATTAGTGTTCCTTTAGTGTTAATATTTATCCTATTCTTATATATTCATTTCATAAGAATAATCCAGCAGAAACTAACATCTGAAAGGTACTAGGCTTTCTAATTAGCATATGAAAAATACCATTTAAAATTTTAAAGAAAGGCAACATGCTAAGAACAGTTCTATGAACAGTTCAATGAATATGTTCAATGAACATACTATGTGCTGTACAATTCATAAAACCTGCTTTATTCCTATTTATTATTATCTAATCCATAAGTCATTTTTTGAGAAAATTTTACTTGACCACCACCCATTTCCTATTGTGACAAATGATTCAGTAATCAGTATCTTCAACCATTTTTTAAATATTGAGGTATTTAAGACTTACTACTTAGACAAATGTGTAAATTCATTACATAATGCAGCATTTTATAGATAAAACAGCTATAGTATAGTAAAATTAATAGCCAAATTCTAAAAAAACCTCTCTCCTTTAACACACACACACACACACACACACACACACACACACACACGTTCCTAGAATCTTTCCTTCTAAAAATGGCATCTAGAAAATAAATACCATCAAGAAAACACTAATTCACATGTTCTTATAGGAAATAACAATATACAATATTTTAACATTTCAAAAAGGTAGCATATTATGTGTGTTGCAACGGATTCCCCAAATCTGCAATAGTGCTGCAGTCATGAATAAACATATTCCTCCGAAGTTCTAACTATGTGGGGCCATATCAAGGGCATGGAGCATGCACATCAGATTCGAAATGGATTTACATTACCTCCAACCTTAGGGCCACCTGCTGAACCAGGCTTCCTTGCACTGTTGACAGGATTACCGGATGTTTTAGGTGCAGGAACCTTGAAGGCTGAAGCAGCTGATGATGGCCTATTTCCATCCACTGATTCCTCATCATCAAAGCTTTTATCTACACAAAGCATTAGAAAAATGTATTTTAAGGAAATTTAGCTTTGTTCCATTTTTCATAAGTCTCAAAAATCAAATAATGCCATATATAAAATCATAACTTTGATAAGATATATAATACAAAACCAAGGTCTTCTGAATAAGCATGAATATACTGGTTAACACATATGAAAAAAACACTAAAATTTAAAATCAAATGCAGTATTATAAATTTTCCTACCTGTATGAATTAAGGCAAAAGACAAGCATTAACTCTAAGAGCAGTAAGAAGCATTTTTCATTTTTTTGCTACTCATACAATCATTTTCTGCCAGCTCCTCCCATAGTGCATCTTCCAGCACGCCCTGCCTTATTCCTTATACCCAGATTCTGCAACTTACAATCACAGATCCTCTTGCAAATCAGTCGCCTCATTCCTCTGAAAGCTCTTAATTTCCCTCACCCTAGGATGCTCCCAATAGTTCACATGGCCAAATACCGTAAATTTGATACTAATCAAGGATTCTATCAAAAATAGATAGAAACAACCACAGAACCACCACTGAGGTTTGTGCCGGCATTTTTCTTTCTCTTCCCTGCCCTAGGTGCTGTAACAGCCAATCAGCTACAAGGTGACATCATCTTATGGCTGCTACTGCCAGATGAAAGGTAAAAATTCTCCATGCATCTAAAAAAATTCTCTACGCATCTGCAATCTTTATTATATTCAAAATTTTAAAGGCAATTAATACTAATAGTTTATGTGTCTAAGTTTTCTTTTACTTAATTCACATATGAATTTACATAAATAGAAAAATATGGTTTTATGCAATATTCATTGTGCTGAGGTGCTTATGATTGCATCAGTAAAACATGGGCTATAACAGCTCATTACTGCACATAATTAACTCCATAATCTCACAATTTGCTGTTTGTATAGGCCACAGAAACCAAACTGAACAATTTGTTTTCATAAATGATTCTCTAATATTCTACAAGGCTCCTTTGAGAATATAATGACCACACTAGTATCATCTTCTTATATACAAATGAAACAGCTCAAGACCACCTCCTCCACCCCCAAAGGAACAAACAACAACAACAAAAAAAATCACAAGATATATTCAGTTTTACTCTACTGAGGAAACGGTTTTCTCTAGGACCCTGCACAAACCAACTATGACAAACAAGATGGGCGAGGCAGAAAAGCAGCTTCACCACAAGCTTCAGATCAATATGCCAGAATCTCCTTCCTTTCAACCTGTTCTCCTTACCTGTAAGACACCCAACCACCCAGAATGAAATCATCCAGATGAAGGGGTATTATCTGTACAACTATTAAATACATTTTAAAGAAAATATCTCAAACAAGTTTTAAAACTTATTTATTGGGGTGGGGGGGACAAAAGAATCAAAGACACCCTAACATAAAGCCACATTTCATTTCAGTGTTTTTCTTAAATAACACAATTTATAGAAAAAAAGAGTATATTCTAGTTAAAAAATAACTGTTTTAGTATAAAACAATTAGGAAATCAGTTTAGATAAAGTAATGGATTTAAAACCTGTGCTTTACATAGATTGTTCTGTTAAGAACATCAATAACAATTTCAAATAAAATTTTCTGCCACCATTATTTTAAAAATGCAGCTAAGAAAGAGTAGACACAAAAATTTACAGAAAGTTAGGCACTGAAACACACAGTAGACAGAAGTTCCCATGGAAACAGTGTTCTGTTCCTGTACACACACAAGAATTGAAGAGTAAATGTCCCTACCATTTTTAAAAAATTAACTCTGAATATTCCCCAAACTACTGAGAGATTAATTTTTAGCTTTTTAATTAAAATAGAGTCAAGTATACAGATCTGGAGTTTGCAGTTCAATGAATTTTCATAAAATAAACATGTTAGCATAATCATTGTCCAGATTAATATATTACCTGTATCATGAAAACACTTATGAGACCCCTAAAAGCCATTATTTTCTAACAAAACTAACTACCAGTTTTGAATTCTACAGCAACAGTTGGTTTTGCTCACTTATAAACTTTATATAAAAGGAATCATACAATTTGCACTCAGGTATCTAGTTTCTTCTCACTAGAAGTTGGAAAGTAATGTTTAGCAGATTCATTGCTTAAAGTTCTTGAGTATATGAACACGCCACAATTTATTAATATCTATTCTGCTGATAGACACTTGGGTTTTTGCCAATTGGAAGTTATTATAAAATGGTGTTCCTAAGAGATGAGCAAACAAAGTTAAAAGGTTCTAAGGATTTTGCATTATTGGGGAAGTAGTAAACACAGTACAGGTTGAGCATCCCTAATCTAAAAACTGAAATCTGACATGCTCCAAAATTTAACACTTTTTGAAAGACAACATGATGCTCCAACAGTTTTAGATTTTGGGGCATTCTGAATTTTGGGATTACAGATGCAACTGAAATCTGCAAATATTTTTTTTTAAATACAAAATTTGAAACACTTCTGGTCCCAAACATTTCAGATAAGGGATACTCAATATGCAGTTGATTTTAGATTATAATAAATCAAAGATGCTACATCATAATACCTAGCTAGGACAGTGTTCCTAAAAATGTGGTCTCCAGGCCAGTAGTTGGGCATCACCAGCAGTTTGTTAGAAATGTAAATTCTTGGGCCCCAGCCCAATTCTGAAGATGCAGCCCAGTAATCTGCCTATTAAGAAGCCTTCCTGGGCTGAGGTTGTAGCTCAGTGGTAAAGCACTCACCTAGCACATGTGAAGAGGCCTTAGGTTCGATCCTCAGCATCACATATAAACAGATAGATAGATAGATAGATAGATAGATAAATAGATAGACAGATAGATGTATTATGTCCAACTACCACTATTTAAAAAAAAAAAAAAGAAGAAGAAGAAGTCTTCCTGAAGATTCTTGTGCATGATCAGTTTAAGAAACACTATTACAGCAGGGTTGGTGGACTTTTCCATAAAGGATCAGAGAACAAATAAGTTGGATTTTGCAATTCATGTACATTATGATCTTTCTATGATACATGACATGTAAACAAATAGCTGTGGCTGTGTTTCAATATAATTTTATGTACAAAAACATGAGGACACCTGGATTTGATCAGCAAGCAACAGTTTGCCAATCCTTGCTATAAGATGAGCAATAAAAGAAGGGTAAATACATATATAAATAAAATAGAAGAAAAAGAGTATATTAAAAATATCTGGTTTACTGGGGCTGGGAATGTGGCTCAAGTGGTAGCACTCTCGCCTGGCATGTGTGCGGCCCGGGTTCGATCCTCATCACCCCTTACAAACAAAGATGTTGTGTCTGCCGAAAACTAAAAAATAAATATTCAAAAATTCTCTCCCTCCCTCCCTCCCTCCCTCCCTCTCTCTCTCTCTCTCAAAAAAAAAATCTGGTTTACTAAAAAGAAGCAGGAATGGAGACAAAATATAAAAATAAAATGGTAAGTATAAAACCATATACACCAATAATTACCTTAAATGTAAATGAAGTAAATAGAAGTAAAAGATCAAAACTGAATATCTTAAAAATAGATGGCTTCATTGAAATATTTCAGAGTTACATAAAGGTTAAAAGTAAAATGAGAAAGGTAGATATTAGTAAACACCAACCAAAAAAAAAAAAGCTGGTTTCAAACAAAGCAGGCTTAAAAAGCATTACCAGAGAAATACAGACATTTAGTAATGGTAAAGGAGTCAATTGGACAGAAAGAAGGAACTTTAAATATTTGTGTAACCACTAATACAACTTCATATATATTAAAAGGAAAAACAAGGTCTAGGGATGTAGCTCAATGGCAAAGCATTTGCCTAGCATGCATAAAGCCCTGGGTTTGATCCTCAGGATCACAATCAAACCAATCACTAAATCAATCAATCAGTCAGTGGAAAATCTACAAGCATGAAAACAAGTTTTGCCCACTGCCAATAAGGTTATATATTCTTTTAACCACAAATCAATGGAATTCATAAAACTCATTCATCATCATAAGACTTCAAATTAAAAAGTTTGTTTTATAATTTATCTAGAAGCCATAAATATTCTGGGTTTCATTTTTTCCCCTAAACTATAATAAAATAGCAGAACAAATCCCAATTATTTTCTTTATAGCAGAAATTACTTCCCAATAAAGTCATAAAGCTGATTTTTGGAAGTTTCTTCTTCTTCTTCTTTTTGTGGGGTGGAGGAAGTACCGGGAATTGAGCTCAGGGGCACTCAACCCCTGAGCCACATCCCCAGACCTATTTTGTATTTTATTTAGAGACAGGGTCTCACTCAGTTGCTTAGCGCCTTGCTTTTGCTGAGGCTGGCTTTGAACTGGAGGTCCTCCTAACTTAGCCTCCTGAGCCTCTGGAATTTTCTTGTTTATGCAGTAACCCCATTACCTATAACAATCCATGGATAATTGTCACAATCAACTCTTTTTCCTGATTCTCACCTTTGTCTCCAAGAGTTTTTTTCTGGCACAGCATTCTGATTTGAACAAAGTCACATCATATTGCGCTCAAAATTCTCTGATGACTCCATTAAAAGGCCTATCAGGACTCTAAAATCTTAGATATCACATAAGTCTCTCCAACCTCATCACCTACTTTCTCTCTCCTATTTGCTCCCTCCCATTCAACCCTACTAGTTTCTTTGCTGGTACCCACATCAGGTCAGGGCCTTTTGGCTTGTTTCTTCTGCTTAGAATGCTCTTTCTATATATCCCTGTTTCCCAATCCACACTATTCACTCACCATATTCATGTCTTTATTCATCTGTCACCTTCCAACACCTTGATACTCTGATCTACCTCTGCTTCTCTGCTTCATTTAGTTTACCCAGCATTTACTATCTACATATTTCATTAATTTTATTTGCATTTCTTTCCCCACTAAAATATATAATCTAAGAGGGTGGGATCATTTGTGTATTTTGCCTAGTGCTATATCTTCCCTACGTGGAATAATGCCTAGAACAGCACATCACACTGGATAAGATACATAACTTTAAGAA